AGGAGCCTAAGTGGCTGCACAGCTTCTGGGGCAGTAGGGTGGTGGGAGAGTAGGCATGAGGATGGATCCACTGACACACTTCTGTGGGGTCTGACCTCTCTGGCCCCAATTTCCTGTGCCTCAGAACCACAGTGACAGCCGAGTGACACTGTTTGAGGGGGAGAACTTCCAGGGCTGCAAGTTTGAACTCAGTGATGATTACCCATCCCTGCCCTCCATGGGATGGGCCAGCAAGGAAGTGGGTTCCCTCAAAGTCAGCTCCGGAGCGTGAGTACTGGGACTGGAACAGGGAGATGGGAAGAGCATGGAGGCAGTGCCAAGCAGGGTGAGAAGTGATGGGTGGAACTGAGGGACAGGGTCCAGAGGCTGAGGATTTGGAGCCCAAGGCAAGAGAGAGGATGAGACTGATGGACAGGGAGAGAAGGGAAGGGGTAACAGAAGAACGGGTGTCAGGGCAACAGTGTAGGAGTAGAGGAAGGCACTGGAAGCATGGGTAAAGAGGAAGTGGAGGGTGGTGAGAGGAGATGAGGCGGGCAGCAGGAAGACGGGACAGTGGGCAGGGCAGGGAGAGACCCATATAGGGGAGGTCAAAGCCGTTGTTCTGGAGCTGGGGTTGGGAGCTGAGAAAGGGAGGACAGAGTGAGGGTGGAGGGCCTACTCATCACCCTTGTTCCCTCACTGGCCCAGGTGGGTGGCCTATCAGTATCCAGGCTACCGAGGCTACCAGTACGTCCTAGAGCGGGACCGGCACAGCGGCGAGTTCCGTAACTACAGCGAGTTCGGCACGCAGGCCCACACTGGGCAGCTGCAGTCCATTCGGAGAGTCCAGCACTAGGCTCCCCAGCCCCGGACGCCTCCCTAGGGACCCTCAATAAAGGCCTCTGAACCTGCCTGCCTCTCTTGCCTCCTTGGTGTCTCGTTTGTGACTTCCATCCTCCTCCCTCTGAGGGTTTTTCCTGATCCATCAGACCCCCACCTCAGGCTCCAGGACCCTTGACTCTCAAACATAAACTGGCTTGGGTTGTATGTGGGTGGGATCTGGTGGGATCGGAAAGAATCCCTGGGATCTTGTTAAGGACAAGCAGTCCCTGACTCTTCTGGAAAAGACCCACCAACTTGAGCTGTGGGTACTGTCAGCTCAGATGGAGGTGGAGGCAGACACCCCCACGGCAGGGCTCAGAGCTTCCCCAGGCCAGCTACTGCCATCACACAGAATTTTCTGAACCCTGCACAGAAGTTCCATTGGGCTCCTCTCTAATTCCCAGTCTTACTTTTCACCCTGGTTCCTACCCAGCCAGGGAAGTCTCTCCTTTCCCAGAGGAAGAATCAGTTGGGAGTCCCACTGCCTCCGAGGGTCTTCTGTGGGGGAGATTTCCTCTCCGTGAGCCCAGCCCCCAGAGCCTTTTTCTGAATCACAGTTCCTTGCAAGGTGTTGGACTCCAGCATTTATGAAGCATTTTCCTTTTGGCTGCTCCAAACAACTCCTCTTCATTCTTGGACTCCTCCCTCTGCCTCAGAGGATGGGCAAGCCCCAGCCACTGAGGCAATGTGGGTTCATGGCCCACAGCCGTGGTGGGGCTGAGTATGGTAGCAGCCCAGAGACCCTGGCTCCAGTATGGATTTTCCCCAGTTCCCTCTCTGCCCCAGATAAAGATACCCTCATCCCCCATAAGGAGAGCCTTCCCAAGGCCACTGAGACTCTGCTCATCCTGTCCTTCTTGTGTTTTGAAGTCACCAGTTGGGAGGAGTGGTCCAGCATAGGCCTAGTCCAGGCAAGGAAGGGCCATATTGCAGAGTTGTCAAAATTGGACCTGGGCAGTCTCCTGGGGTCCAGCTGTATGAAGTCAGGTGGTTGTTCCTTTGGGAAGACCCCCTGGATCATAAGTCAGACCAGGGGTCCAAGCACATAGCATCTCAGAGCCTGCATTCCCTCATCTGTGGAACTGGGGGCCTGCCTTGCCCACCTCATGGGATAGTTGCAGAGATTCAATGAGAACCCCTGAAGATGCTTCTAGAGTTATGGAAAATCATTGGGAAATCAGGCAGTCAGTGCAGGGCCCTCCTTATCCTGTGTCCATACCCTCCACGGATCACAGGGTTGGGTCAGGGGGTCAAGGAACAGAGCTGTAGGTGGAGTAAGAATTCTGAGCCTGAGTGGACTCTGAAATCCATAGCCCCTGTTGCCTGTGGTCATCCTGATACCTCCCCCCCCCCCTTCATCTATTTAACCAATTAAAAAACCAGAGCTCCAGGAAGGAGCTTTGATTAGGTCACCCACTGAATTTGTGACAAAGCCAGAATTTGAATACAGGGCTCCTGAAGCCAAATCCAGGCTAAATGGAGGGTGACAAGCTGTAGCTAAGAGCCTCAGGCCTCAAAAGAGCCCCAAATTTCTATGGGTCCCTGAGGAGCCTGAGATTCACGGCTGGTCACAGGCTCCTTGTCCCTTTGTGGAAGGGAGATGGTAAGCATAGCTCAATGTATAGCACCTGTTCTAAGCACTGCATGTGTTATTTTATATAAACCTCAGAATGCTGGATGTGAGATACCATCATCCCTATTTTACCAGCAATGAGACAAAGGTAGCGTTCAAAGGTTATATACCCCTCCCCCAAGTTTCACAACTAGGAAATGAGGGAGTAAGAAGTTGAACTTGGAACACAAACTGACTTGAGTCCAGCAGCCTATCTCCTTGCTGCCTGCTTTGAGGACCAGGCAATGGATGAAAGGGAGATCTGGTATAGGTCCTGGGCTGAGCCGTCCTCCTGCCAGGATTCTCTGTGGGCACCAGGAAAAGTCTACAAAGATGGGTTCAGGAAGTGGCCATATGGCCCTGAACAGGTCGTGGTCTTCTGGATCTCAGTGTGCTTTCTGTGCAGTGAAGGAGTTGGGTTGCCATAGCCCTTGCCACCATGAAAGTTTTAGGTTTTCCTGGATCCAGGAGTCAGGCTCTGTTCCCCACATCTATCAGCAGCTAGGGAGTCGGGGGTCTGAGGCCAGTCTGAGAGTGAGAATTTTCACCTTTATGTCCTTCCATTCTGGACAGGCTCGGGGTGGGGTGTCTGCAAGGCCCCAGGGACCAGCACCCAGCCAGAGGTCGGAGGGGATGGAAGGAAAACTGCCAGACTCCCACTGGCCTCCACCCTGGCTGTACTCAAAGCAGGAGGGCACAGGGGATGTTGAGACACAGAGGCAGTGGGGGACACCCTCCCCTCACCCCAGTTTTCCCAGCACCTGGGTCCTCCAGGAGGTTGGAACCCAGAGCTTATGCAGCTGATCTGGGATGCCTGGGAGGACACCCCTCTCTGAGCACCTCTCCCTTATGCCTGCTGCTGACAGCATTCAGTGGGCGAGTCTCCAAGTGGCTGTCCCAGCCCTTACACCTTGCTCCTTCTCGGTTTCTGTCAGTAGAGGTTGGGGGAAAAAAACAAGACAGCACCCAAAGGAGAAAGACTGGCATCCCAGCCCCACCTTCAAGGTCCTTCCCTCTGACAGAGCACTGAGTTTGGTCCCCAAAGAACATCCCAACCTCTCATCTTTGCTCCCACCAGATTCCACGGCCACCTCCTAAAGCTCCCTTCCCCATCCCTCAAGGATACCCTCACACTCTGCCTTCACAATGCCCCCTGACTCCTTTGCATCGCAAGAGGATTTTCCAGCCATCTCCCTTGGGTGGGCGCCCAGGGGCAGGGACCCTGCAGGAACTGGACCACTCTCAGGCCCCTGCAGTCCCTGGACTCAAACCGGGAGAGAGAGGGCCTTGAGAAGACAAATTCTGACAGTAGTCCTGGGTGCTGCATGGGCCCCTGGCTCAGGTCCGTTGGTTAAAGCCCCACAGGTCACTAGAGACTCTAGCCCCCTTGGGAACCGTGTCAGCATCTTTGCATGAGTTAGACAAAGGTCTCGCTTTCTTGGAAGGGGCTTTCAGCCCTCTAACTGTACACTAGCCCGGTTTCATCCTTCTCCCTGTCCAGCCCAGAATGGAAAAAACCAGGCTGACTGGGCGGATGCGCTGTGTGTACGGTGGAAGAAGAGTTGCCAGGGGATTGGCAGGAGGTCAGGAGCCCACCAAGCAAAGCCAGCATGGATCCTCTCTGCAGAGTCGCACCTCATCTGTTGTGGGGACTGAATGGAGGGGAGGGAGAAGAACCGGGGAGGCAGAGAGGAGACTGGAGGGCACTCAGCAGCTGGGGAGAACGGAGGCGGGGCCGAGGGGGGAGCTGGGACCCCAGGAGGGGGATGGAGCGTGGAGAGGAGGGGCGTGCGTGGGGGGGGGGACTGCAGCTGTCAGGGGAGCTGCCCGGGGTGGGGCCGAGGCGCGGGGATTGTAGAAAGTCTGGAGACGGGGCGAAAGCGAGGGGGAGACGACGGGGAAGGGGCTGAGTCTCCAGGGCAGAGCAGAGAGAGGGAGAAGAGGCGGGAGAAGGCGCGGGGGTGGGCATAGATAAAGGGAGCAACGGCTGCCGAGCCCGGAGCGCAGCGACAGGCGAGAGGGAGGGAAGCGGAAATTTAAAAGTGAAGATGCAGATAACGCAGCCTGGAGACGGGAACCCGGGCAGGGTGGGGGCAGGGGAGGGAGAGGGAGCAGAGTGAGCGGCGACGGGGTGGGAGCAGGAGGGAAGGAGGGCTCTGGGGGAGGGGGCTGCGGCCGTGGGGGTCCGAGGTGGGTCCTGCTACACCCCCGCCCCATCACTGTTTGCAGAGAATCACGGAGGCGGAAAAAAAAGGCGCTCTCGGCCCCCTTCGAAGAGCTCGGCCCGGGGGCCCATCCCCCGCGTCTCCCCGGCTGCGGGGCGCGGGGGGCTGCCGGGTGCGCTTGGCTGTGGCGCGGCGCGTTGGAGACTTTATTGCGATGGGACGATAAGAGGGGCGGGGGCGGGGTCCGGGGGGCCGAGGCGGCCGTGCTTTAATTAAAACGGAAATTGCGGCCCCTGCCCGCGCGGGGGCCCGAGGGTTCCAAGCGGCCCGGTAGCTGGGAGCGCCGCTCGAGGACCCCCACCCCCACCTTCGCCATCCCCGCCACACCCGGACTGCCCCCTCCCGCCAGGCCCTGCTGGACCCGGCGCCGTCTCTTCCTCCCTGTCACCCGCGGTCGCCTCGGGCGGGGACCGGTGCCCTGGAGCGCAAAGCCTGACGCTCCCCGGTCCCCCCCTCCCCTCCCCCATCTCCCACCGCCCAGTCCCCCGGCAGCGATGAGACAGAGCGGCGCCTCCCAGCCCCTGCTGATCAACATGTACCTGCCAGGTACTCAGGGAGCAGCCCGGGGCTGGAGGCGCCGGGACCCTGGGCTCGGGCGCGGGAAGGGGGTGCCAGGGTCCCAGGGAAGGGGACGCGGTCCGCAGAATCAGATTGCTGGGAGGTCTGATTACAATGTAGGGCGTTCGGGGGAACCTAAAAGGGCAGGGAGAGAGCTGCGGGGGTGTGTTGGGGGGGGTCAGCCTGGGATCCAAAGGACTCCAAGTGAGCAGATTGGGGGCCTGGTAAGGGAAGCTGGGGTCTCCGGCGTGGTAGAGGACTGCGTGCTCGAGCGTGCGGGAGGCTGCGGTCCGCAGGGCGTCGACCCTGCGCCCTCGCGGCTCCTCACCTTCGTGCTGCGAGCATTCGCGCCGGCCCGGCGCTCCAGGCGCCCTCCTCTTCTCCCGAATGGGCTCCGCGCTGCGGCTCGGCTGGCGCAATACCCGCCCGGCTTTATAAAGCTCCAGCCGGCCCCTTCGGAAAGCGGATTTCCTTTTTCCTGGACGCGTTTCCTGACTTGGGCTCCACAGAGGAGCTCCGCGCGGCGCGCGCCGGGGACGGCTCCAGGAGGAGGAGCCCGGTGGCCCCGGGGCCCCCAGCCTCGAGCCTGGGGACCATGGCATCTCCCCTCCAGACTTGGCCGCGGGTTCCGTAGGTCAAAGTCGTCACCTTCACCCCCGCCCACCTTTTCTCCTGCTTCCTCAGATCCCGTCGGAGACAGCCTCTTCAAGGAAGGGAAGAGCCCCGGCTGGGGGCCGCTGAGCCCCGCGGTGCAGAAAGGTGAGCTGGACGGCACACTGGGAGCGCGGAGAGGCGAGGGCAGCGGCCGGGGCCGACAAGAGGGGAGCTGGCGCCACCAGGCACCCCAAGAGGGGATGGGAGCGAGGTGCACCCTGGGCTCTGGGAAGCACAGGGTCCTTGGCAGGGGCCCCTGGGGAGCCAGTCACTCGGCCTTTGGCCCCTGCATTTGCCAGTCCCAGCGCTGGACTTGGGAACCAGGGCAGGTGAAGAGGATACTGTGTTTCTGCAGAGTAGGGTATTCCAGGCTTTGGGTCCACAGCTGAGGCCCTTGGCTCCTGTCCCTGCTGGCAGCAGGAGTACATGGCCACAGCATGGATTGCAAAGGGACCCAAAAAATCCCTCCTCCACCACACGGGGCTGTCCAGCCATTAGACCCTGGCCAGGGTTTCCTGCTGCACTGGACAGCGCACTGGACCGCGATCCGTTCACCTCTAGCAAGCTCCAGGTCAGTACATCACCCTGTGGCGGCTGGTTCCGCAGGCCGTGCCTCACCACAGGTGGTACCCCTGCCCCAGCTGGTTCCCCAGATTTCACAAAGTTACAGTAACCACAAAAAACGAGATAGGCAAACTGCTTTATCCAGGAGCAATTACAATGCCTTTTAAGAACGGGCTTCCAAACCGCTGATGGCAGTCAGCCATGGTTGTCAGGTGCACGGTTTCATCTGAATCTTCCCTTGCTTCTGACCCTAAAACCGAACGTCCTCGCTGAGCTGGCTGGGTGTGACCAGAGTTGAAATTATGGCGCAAGGGCAGCATCTGGGTTCTGGGAGGGTCGCATGCAAAGGAGAGAGGTTCACCCCGCAGGATCTGAAGCAATAGTCAGATGACTTTGAGGAAAACCGTTTTATTTCAAAAGGGGGAGTGTGTCAGGATTTTTCTTGGGGAGCAGGAATTCTAGGCTCCCACTCTCACCTCCTGCATAACCAGGAAAAACCTCCTTACCCTGAAATCCCGCAGAAGAGGAGGCCAGAGCCAGGTACCCTTGCTTCCCAATCCTAGCAGTTCATCAGCCCCTGGCAATTAAGGGCACCTTAGCACTGGGGGAGTCCCGCCTGATCCGAAAAAAGAGATTGAATCCTAGCAGTGCCAGTGCAGAGCTCTGCGCACTTCATAGGAGGCCTCTTCTCACCTATGGTGGGCCACTGTCCTGGCTCCTATCTGACATGGTGTCCCTGGGAAGACAGTCACCACCCCATCTCAGGCAGGGCCTTCAGGGGCTGGGGCATGGCTGGTCCTCCTCCAGGAGTGGCCAGGGTCCTATGGCTGCTCGCCAGCCTCTTCCCTTCTGGTGCAGCAGGGGTGGGGCAGGCCAATGACCTGCTCTGTGCTTCAGGGCACCTGAAGAAGGGCTCACGTACTCCGTGGCGGTTCGGGGCTGGTAGCTGCCCCTGTGCACGGTGGTGCCGCTGCCGCGTTCGTGGGGAGAATATGATGCTTCCTCTTCTCTCCCCATTGTCCACGGGTCCCGGGGGCTTCGTCCTCCTAAGTGGAAGCCGAACGTCCGTCCATTGTGCTGAAGTGCGAAATGGCCTCAGTGGCCCCTCGCTGGCCAGCGACTCCAGCTGCAGCGGCCACGGCTGGCCGTGCCCGCTCCCGCCTGCCGCCGGGCTGGGTCGGTTTCCTGGCACCTGTTCCTCCAGTTGCAGCCTCCTCTCCGGGCGACCTGTGGCTGACCCCCCCTCCCCCGTCCCCCACAGGCAGCGGGCAGATCCAGCTGTGGCAGTTTCTGCTGGAGCTGCTGGCGGACCGCGCGAACGCCGGCTGCATCGCGTGGGAGGGCGGCCACGGCGAGTTCAAGCTCACCGACCCGGACGAGGTGGCGCGGCGCTGGGGCGAGCGCAAGAGCAAGCCCAACATGAACTACGACAAGCTGAGCCGCGCGCTGCGCTACTACTACGACAAGAACATCATGAGCAAGGTGCACGGCAAGCGCTACGCCTACCGCTTCGACTTCCAGGGCCTGGCGCAGGCCTGCCAGCCGCCGCCCGCGCACGCCCACGCCGCGGCCGCCGCAGCCGCCGCGGCCGCCGCCGCCCAGGACGGCGCGCTCTACAAGCTGCCCGCCGGCCTCGCGCCGCTGCCCTTCCCCGGCCTCTCCAAACTCAACCTCATGGCCGCCTCGGCCGGCGTCGCGCCCGCCGGCTTCTCCTACTGGCCGGGTCCGGGCCCCGCCGCCACCGCCGCCGCCACCGCCGCTCTCTATCCGAGCCCGGGCTTGCAGCCGCCGCCCGGGCCCTTCGGCGCCGTGGCGGCCGCCTCGCACTTGGGGGGCCATTACCACTAGACGGGGCGGCGGGGTGCCACTCGGCCTCCCCCACATGCTGAGCCTCGCCCGACGCACCCAGGCCCGGGGAGGGGCCCCGGAGCCTCCCTCCGCGATCCTGGAGCCCAGACGGCCCTCACCAGGCCGCCCCCAGCCCCGGGGCAGACCCCGGTGGCCTCCCCAACTTTCCTGTGACTCTAGACTCGCCCCCTGCTGCACCCGCCCCGGCCCCTGGGGAAGGCGACCGCGCGCCCCCTTGACTCTCTGTCCCTCCTCCGCCTGCCCCTCGCCTAGCCTCGTGACCTTTTCCTGTTTCTGCCCGCATCCCGGCACGTGGAGGCCTCTCACTGTCCTCCTGCCACCTGGGACGGAGCAGGCTCGGTAGAGGTCATTCCCGTGGCACTCGCTCCCCGCCCCCCCAGGAGGGCCCGGCGGGGTTCTGTTCCCTTCCAGCCCCCATTAAAGCTCCCGCGCTGCCCGCCGCCGCCGCCTCTGTTCTTGGCTGCACCCGAACCTTCGTTCAGCGTGGGGAAGGAGGATGGGGTTCGGCTCAAGCCAGAGCAGAAAGGCCCGCCGCGGAGGGGGCGAGGGCGGGGGGGGGGGGTGCTGCGGGCCACAAAGCCGGACGCCGGGCGGGTGGGCTCATTCTCTGAGCAAGACGCGCCGCACCCGGGCTTCCGTCTGCCCCTCCCCTCCTCTCGGGCTCCAGCCCACCTGTCCCACCTCAAGCTGCCCGCAGCCTCTCCATGCCCAGCCCTCCCCATCGTACTGTCACTCTGCGCCACCCCTATCTTTTCTCAGCATCTGCCTCTTCTTTTTCCCAAGGGCGCTCCGGGCCGCGGCTCCCAGCCCCGGCTCGCCACAGCGCCTGCTAATCGCGGGCGGAGCGCGCCCTCTGCTGGCCGAAGGAGGGGAAGCCGGGGCCTGGTTTTAATCCTAAACACAGGCGGGCTATGGCGCCGCCGCGGGGCGGCACCAGATTGAGGTTGGGAGGACCTGGTCGCCTTCAGACCTCCTCTGGCCTGCAAAGAGGGCGAAGAAGGGAACCTTGCCCTGCATCCCAGGTCTGGAGGCTGAGAGGGCCCACACCTACAGGCCCTTCTGAATGCCGCGGCCACGGCCCTGGTGATGGCTTCACGCGTTCACCCAAACGCCATGGCAGGAAAATTGCCAAAAACGCCTCCCCCTACACGCAAGCAACCCCGGGCAAGGTGCTGGAAGTGATAGCCGCTCCCCCTTCCCCGTGGTCCGGGTATTTCTCTCCCAAGGGCCAAAGGTTCCTTCTGGGGGTAAGGGGGTGCCCTGGGCCCCCACTGGGCAGCTGACCGTTTCCCGTGCCCCTTGGGTAAGGGGGGAAGAGCAGGTGGAAGGCGGGAATCCAGGCACGGGTGGGGGTGGGGCTGCTTGCTGAACAATCCACCAAGGCAAAGACTTGTAACTCATTTTCGCATTTTTCCTGCATACAGTTGGGGCAGAAAAATTGGAAAGCACACATAACATCTTCGTCTTATATTGGATGAAGAGTGTAAGGGTGGCAGGGTGGGGTGACGTCACCTGGAGTCCCACTCCACGGAGGTAACTGTCACCATCCTTGCTTATAGCATACATGAACCATGGGGAGGGTCTCTTCACAGTGGTGCTGGGGGCGGGGGCGGAAGCTGGGAGGGAGAGAGAACACACTGGGGAGGCAGAGCCAGGTTCTAGAATGATCTGGGCCACTAAGGATTGCAGCCTGAGTGTAATAAATGAAATTTCCTAGCAAGGCACGTGGGTTGGTAAAATGAAACAAGAGGCCAGAGTATGAGTCTTGGCAAGGGGCGGGGGGTGACCCGGTCGAGATATTGTAAATCAGCGCTTTCTTGGGCAACACAGTGCTACATGGATATGTGGCAGGCCGCGTGGTCCCTGGGGCGCTGTGGAGTCATGGCAGCTAGGACGAGAGAAGGGAGCAGGGCCACACACGCGCAGGGGCCAACCTGGGAAGGAAGGAGGAAGAATGCGGGGAACACACCCACAGTGCAAGGGCTGGAAAGGAAAACGGGCGGGGAAGGGACAGGGCAGCTGTCCTGAGGGAGGGGACCCAGGGCAGTAGCAGGACACGTGGGGGAAGCGTGCGGAGGACAGACGTGGCCCGATCCACGGGAGAGCCTCTGCGTGGTAGATGAGCTGCCCCTCACCGGTGTTCCACAGAGCCTTCTGTGAGTTGCGAGGGAGGCGGCAGACTCAGGCGACTTCAGCCTTGAGACTTGTGAGTTGGTGGAGGAGGGACTCGGCCACTGTTGGCAGCTGGGAGAGAAGTTGGACTGCAGGATCTTCTGACCTGGGAGCTCGCATCCTCTGGGGTTCCGTCCTTAGTGTGTTAAATACTGAGGCCAAACCGGGGGTCTCCAACTCCCCTGCTCCGTGAGACCTCAGGAGTCACTAGATTCTCTCTGTCCCCCGAAAGCAAGTAAGCGGACAGTGCCCATCAAATGTGATTTATGACTCCAGCCTGGGCCTCCTTTAGATGCACATCCTGTGCTGCAGCCCAGCTCAGCCCTGCTGCCTCCCCTAGCTCTGTGATCCCTCCGAGTGCTGAGTTACTGTGGTCTTGAGATGGTGCCGCCTCACGGACAGTCCCTGGAGAAGCCACTCTCTCACCCCGCACTCAGCTTCCGAGTGCTCCAGTCCTGTCCTCACTGACCCTTAACCCCTTGTCCTGCCAGTTACTGATCCCACCATCGCCCCCCCGCCAATCCAGGACCAGCCCCTTTGCATTCCCTGTTGTACTGATCGTTGATGAAGATACAGCTCACTCTCCCACCCCCGGCTGTACGTTTGCACCACAGTGTTTACAAAATGCCTTCACCTCCGCCGTTTGTCATGCTTTGTCTGGAAGAGAAATAAACCAAGGCCCAAGATGTTCCGTGTTTTGGCCAAAGTCTCAGTGGCCGGTTCTAGGACCTGTGTCCTCTGCCAGACCCTTCCCCACTGCTCTGAGTGACTTCTTTGCCTTGAGTGGCCTTTGGTCTCCTCGCTTTTAAAGATTGTGCGCACCCAGGTCTCCTCCAACAGGGGGTGCTCATGTACCCTAAGCCCCACCTGCCATCTCTTGCAGGTGGAACCTGGAGTCCTGCTACAAGCCACGTGAGGACATCCTTGTCCACACTCTGCCCTGCACAGTTGCATGGCAACAGCGCCACCTGGGGCCCTAAGTGTGCAGAGCATTTTCTCACATTAGCTCAAGTGGCCGTGGACACATCCCAGGGGGTTGCTGTGATGTCATTTCTCAAAGCCAGCTGCTTGCCTGGCCTTCATCTTTTCTTCAACATGTCTTTAAAATGCACCAGAACTCACTTCGGCATATTGCTTGGGGCTTTTTATAATTCATGTTAAGTGGGTCTGCTAATACTAAAATTCTGCCTAACCAGGAGTGAGCCTTTGGCCAGCATTTAGATGGTTCTTGGGATGCCTGCATTGCCTGGGCAAGTTCCAGCTCTGCTCCCGAGTCCAGCTTCCTCTAATGTGCACCCTGGGAGGCAGCAGTGAGTGTTCAAGCAATTGGATCCCTGTCACCCACAGAGGGGACCTGGGTTGAGTTCCTGGTTGCTGGCTTCAGCCTGGTCCAGCCCTAACTGTTGCAGGCATTTGGAGGATGAACAGGTACACAGGAGGTTACTCTGTCTTCTGTGTCTCTCTGGATTTTTAAATAAAATTTTTTAAAGAGCAAAATCAAGATGCTTAAAAAACATTTAATATATATGCCTAGCTATTCAGCGAACCCAACTATGTCCCAGGATCTGCCACATGCTGGTGTTTTACAGGATCCAACTCCTTTGACTTGGCCACAACCTTGACAGGCAGGGTGGTCACCTCTATTTTCACATAAAGAAGCAGAAGCTCAGAGGAGCTAGAGGCTGGCACACCTGTGACCCCAGAGCACAAGTCCTCCCCTCCTACCATAACTCCTCTTGCTAGGCCTTCTAGGGAGCTTCTTCCTCACAGAAGTCTGACCCAGGGCTTGCCCATAGCAAGTGCACACACCTAACGGTCTGCTCATGACAGAAGACAACTGGTTATAAAGGGCAAATTGACAGCTTGCCCTGTAAGGGTTCTTGGCTTAGTCCCTGTCTGATAACAAAATGCAATTGTGCCTGATAAGAAACAAATCAGGGGTGGCTGGCACTGTGCCGTAGTGGGTAAACCACTGCCTGCAGTGGCTGCATCCAATATGGATGCAGGTTTGAGTCCCAGCTGCTCTACTTCTGATCCAGCTCTCTTCTGTGGCCTGGGAAAGCAGTAGAGAACGGCCCAAGTTCTTGGGCCCCTGTACCCATGTGGGAGACTTGGAAGAAGCTCCTGGCTCCTGGCTTTGGATCAGCTCAGCTCCAGCCATTGTGGCTATTTGGGAAGTGAACCAGCAGATGGAAGACCTCTCTTTCTATCTCACCCTATCTCTGTATGCCCCTTAAATAAATAATAAATCTTAAAAAAAAAGAAGGAAGGAAATCAGTGGTGGGCCTTGTGGCACAATGGCTCAAGTTGTCACTTGGGATGCCTGCAATCCATAGCAACGTTCCAGTTTAGTCCTGGCCTCCAATCCAGCTTTCCAGTGCAGCCTGGAAGGCAGCAGATGATGGCCCGGTAATTAGGTTCCTGCCACGAACAGGCAAACCCAGACGGAGTTCTAGGCTGCTGGATTTGCTCTGGCTCAATTCTGGCTTTTGAGGGCATATAGGGAACAAACCAGCTGGTGCAAGATCAACCTCTCTCTCTCCCTCTATCTCTACCTCTCCCTCTACCTCTACCTCTACCTCTACCTCATCTCTATCTCCCTCCGACTCTACCTCCCTCCCTCTCGTCAGTTTGCCTTTCAAGTAAATGAAATAAATATTTTTAGAAAATGAAAATCAACTTAAACAAGCACACACACCAGAGATTGTTCTGTTGCCCCGATCATCTTTTGCAAGCCTTTGCTTTCCTAACCGTGGCCCTACAGCTTGTTCTCTGCCTGTAAGCCCCGAATGGGAGAGAGGCGGTGGCAGTTTCGTGTATCTGGACTTGGTGGCATGTCCACCTCAAGGTGCTTGGCAGGATTCTCTCTGCATCTCATGTGCACAAGCGAGAGACTCAATGGCCTGCTGACTGCCACTCTCCCTGAGAAGTCTCTCCTGCTGGAGCCTGTTTGCTATCTCTTCCATCCTGGTATTCCATCCTTTGTAACTAAAGCCAGCATGACACGATGGTTAAGAGCAAGGACTTGGTCCCAGCATTGTGGCAGGGTGGGTTAAGCCACCACCTGTGATGCCAGCATCCCACACTCATTTTCTGATCCAGCTCCAGGCTACTGCATCTGGGAAAGTAGCAGAAGATGCTTCAAGTGCTTGGGCCCCTGCCACACATGTGGGATACTTGGATGGAGTTCCAGGATCCTGCCTGCTGATTGGCCCAGTCCTGGCCATTGCAACCATTTAAGGAGTAACCCAGCGGATGGAGGATCTCT